GAGCAGACTCTACATTGCCGCTGCCAGTATGCGACTCCGGAGTCCGGCCTCAGGTATACCCCAAATGGCGCCGAATCTGATCCTCCTGCTACTTCTTGAAACCCTGTGAAGGTGGAGCACGTCTATGTCACGTCGGAATGTGACGTGGCGTTGCGTGCCTCCATACACCTCCAGGTACTCCACTGTCCAGTCACAGCCAATGCAATACTGACCAATACACACAACCTGACAGACACACTCACTGACAGACACACACACTTACTGACAGACACACAAAGACACACACACTCACAGACAGACACTCACAGACAGACAGACACAAACAGACACACACACACACACTCACTGACAGACACAGACACACTTACTGACAGACAGACAGACACACACACACACACACACTTACACATTCTTGCACACACATAATTTTCTTTATTGCTCCCTACTTTTGGGAGCCGATGTGGGGCCTCTCCCTGGGGTCCTGTCGGGCTCTTCTATCTGCTCCTCACTGCTCCCTCGTGCGCAATTTAGTGATGCCGGGTACCGGAATATGACGTCATATTCCGGCGCTCGGCTTCACTACAGACTGCGTGCGCGAGGGAGCAGTGAGGAACAGGAACACTGAGCTCCCTCGCTGGCCCTTCTCCCCGGCCGGGTAAATGTTAGCAGAGTATGCACCTGCAATGTCGGGAAAGCAGGTCCCTACACTGCTTAAACACCAAGCATGTACTCGCGGCTCGCCAGGCCACAAACATCTTCATTGTGGGCCGCATGCGGCCCGCAGGCTGAGAGTTTGACATGCTTGCCTTTGATTGACAAAGCTCTGGAGAATCCAGCTCAGCAAGCATGGAAGCAGCATGGTTTTGCAAGTTAAATGAACAAACTGACATACCATCACACCCACATAGGGAGGTATGGACGCCTAGTTACCCAGAGGAGCCTTTTTCCCTATTTAAGCACAGACCACCCAAGGGTCTGTGCTCAGTTGTTTTGTTGTCTCCGTAGAGTACAATCCTGCCTGAGGTTATCTGATTACCCTCACCTGCCTGGATTTCCTGAATTAACCCCTGCCTGTCTGGACTCTGCTAATACTCTTTGCTTCCTGGATTTCCTGAATTAACGCCTGCAACCCTATTCCATCCTTGGTTGCCCCTGCAGCCCTGTTCCATCCATGGTTAAACCCTGCAACCCTGTTCCAGCCTTTGTTTAACTCCTGCAATTCTACTACAACTTCAAGCAAGCCTTTCAAGCCTTTCAATTTTTGCCCAATGCTGAAACTCTGGTAAAAGACCTTATTTTACCTTAAGAACTTATGAAGATATTATGAAGATATTGCCTATTTTGCATTTGAACTTTTTCATTATACTTATTTGCTTTATAATAAAAACATTCAATTCAGTTACTGTGTCCGTATAAAATCTCTGCATACCGGGCCCATTTACCCGAAATCCATGACAATCTCTATGAGGAGATGGTGATTGACCAGGGTGGTGTTTGGGCTGAGATCATCAGAAATGGCTATCACAGCCAATCCAATGTTTACCTATCGAGAAGCATTGTTATTGTCTGAGATCTACAATTCTGATGAACTCTGACCTCGATCTGCCAAGGAGACAGATTGGAGGTGGAGCTAGCACCAGCGGACCTGCACGGCGCTGGAAATAAAGGTATTTACTATATTTAAGGAGGAAGGGGAATCCAGGGGGGTTAAATAGTGGTTTTAAAACTATGGGGTCAATGTCTGTATTCTTGACCTTATAGTGTTCCTTTAACTCCTAGCTCAACTGAATCTATAACAAATTTTCTAATATTTTTATTAAACTGATTAGAATTTTTTTACACTGCACTGTTGAAAAGATTCCAATATTTTCAACTCAAATATGGTAAATATCAGCAAATTTATGGTAAAGTGGCGGGATGGCAGTTTTAATCACTATTTTAAAAATACAGTACAAAAACAAAATAACACCAAAACTCTATAAGAAAGTGGTTAAACACAATTAGATAACTGTTCTCAATTTCCCCAAATTCTTTTCCCTTTTCTAACTTTTCTTTTGTTTCTTTCAATGCCCATATACTTCAGTCAAAGCTGGTTGGACATGCCGGTGTTTAATCATCTACGCTGTTGCATGGTTTGGCAATTGTATATTTCAAGATGCTCTTAAACCACCTTAACTACATATTGTTCCACAAACCATTTTTTGTTACTTATTGGTAATTTTTAAATATCTCAAACTGTTATTGGTCAAAAATAGAATTTACATTAACGTTTTGTGTTAGTTTTTTAAGAGTTAAATTAAATCCCTAACAAGTGATTCTCTCTGATCATTGCATAAAGAATTGACTTCCTCTTGAGAAGTGAGCATTACTAAAGACATTTTAAACATGCTAAGCAGTAAACTACTTCTCTTATATACTGCATATCTCTAAACACTATCCAAGTTTTTTTTTTATATATACAGAACCCCCTTTCACCCGCTTTTAAAAAAATCCATTAACGCATACCATTATTAAAATATCCACCAGTCCATTGTAAGGCATCAGATCACGATCAATAGAAATCACCCTGATTTTGACTGTTTGTCCAGGTTTATAAGAAACCTTGTCAGTTTGTGTGAAAGAATATGTATTTCTTTTTTGCGTTTCCAATGTAGTTTCTTTGGAGAAAATTAAACTATTCCGAGCTAAGCCCCTGACAGATAAGTTGTAGGAAGAGGTTGAAGTATTCACTGGAATCTGCAAAATAAGAATAAAAGAACAGGAGAGTAAAACCAGTGATATATGCAAAAAGTTCACGCTTTGAGTTATTTACAATTATAATGTATTTTAATTTTTTTGAAAGGTAAATGCAAATAGGGTGTGTGTGTGTGTGTGTGTTTTCATTCTGTCCATGCCCATATAATCAATAATGTGTGGATCTTATAATCCTATGTAAATAATAGAAATAATAGTTGAATCTCACAATATAAAATATAGGAGATTAAAGTGTGATACAAAAAAATCTTTCAATCATAGATATTGTGGTTTACAATTTTTCAAGGACCCATCTGAAGGAATTATTTTCCACTAATCCATGGTACTGTAATCTTAGGGCAGCTCAGACGTACATATACTTGAAAGTCACACTGTGGCATCGAATCGCGCAATACAGTTTGTATTGCATGGTGTGATGTCACCCACTCATGCAAGAGGCTGATCAGGTTTTCAAATCCCATACTGCATGGTGGGTGACAACAGACTATGCATTAAATAGGTAGCATTGGAAAATACCTGTCCAAGATATGTAGGAGATACACTGTTGCCACCATTAACTCAGTCCCTCTCCCATTTATAATGCCTGGAGAATGGCTGGTAAGACAGCAAAAGTACAATTCAGTCACCTCCTCTCCTGGCATATCAGTAATGAGAGATGGGCTGAAATACTGTTATCACCACCAATTGCAGGCAGAAAAAAATATTCAAATCATATTGGTTTGGTATATTTATAAAATTTCTGGTTTGAGTGTATGTTCAAACAAAATGACACACCAGAATAAATGTTAAACTGCGTATAGGTAAGGAAGTTCATACTTACTGCAGGAATAGTAAGCAATCCAATAGTATCTGGAGGAGAACAAGATAATAATTAGAGATTTAAATCACTGCAATTACTGAGATGAACACATCAATAATTAGAACCAGGCTTTACTGATGTCCAAGGTGTTTTTTAGCTTCAAACATCACCACATGGACTACATATATAAAAGAATAGAATATAAGAAATGGTTGAATGAAATATAGACTCAACAACTTGAGTGCAACTGTACAACTAATATATTTGGAACCACTGTTGGAAAAGGTGAGTAGAAGTACTTATTAGCCCACGTGTTTTCTGCAGTTCCCTTTAAAATATGTCCATGTAGACCAGTGATAAAAAGGCATCTCTAACAGGTGCACACCGAAGGTGACTCCCATACAATAACTCCTCATGCATACAACCCCCTACCCCTCTACCTTATTTTGTTATTCCTCTTCTGTTTCTCTCTAATCTGTTGTTACTTCTGTTACACTCTAATCTTAACGGATACTGCCTAGACAGACGTGCAAACTGGCAGATGTACACTCAATGGGCGATGAAGGATGTCCCTGCACATTGGTAATCACATTGTCGCATGTAGTCCAGAGTACATGTCCATGTAATCATTCTCTGCACATGTAATCCATGACGTATAAATGTATGCTATATGTTACATGCCACAATTTACGTTAATCTAATATACATTAACTAAAACATAGGGGCATGTTCTAAAAATGGTGTCCTAAATATTGATAGTCATTACTCAAATCACCACAGGCCATTTACGGAATAGATCACTACAGGCTATACCAAAAATACCTAAAAATTAGACTGGATTTTACAAATAAATCAATATTTCAGGAATGTATTTTATAATAGATTATAACGTTATTAAGAGTCAAGTTACAGAACAGCACATTTTTCAATGAAGAATTATCATATAAAATAACACAAATACCAGCTACTGTACTTACCATTATAGAAGATACTGCTGGCATTTGCTAACACATTTCTTTGTAGATCAGCAATTTCAGCAATCACAGTAATTTCAGAGTAATTTGTTCCAAATACATGTATGGCAAGAGTAGTGTTAACTCCAGGGCATATATATTGGGGTAGTGTAATAAAGTGTGATGACCTGTGTTAAAAAAATAAAATTGGTGTTACGATTGATTTTGTTTGGAGTTCTGTATTTAGTATGTATTTTTTTCTAACTTCCTGTGATGGATCTTATTTTATATTTTACCTTAGACCAATGAATTTTGCTAGCTTTCATGAAGTAACCAGCTACCCTTGCACCAATAAAGGTGCCGACATTTACTGTTCTAAGGTTAAGATATGTCTGTGCAATGCAATTAACAATATACTGTATGTGTTCCTAATTTACCAAAAGAATACAAAATGTGTTTTGAGCACCGGATACCAATTTGGAGGAAATCTAATAACAGTATGTGAATGTGAAAAAAGGTGCTATTCCAAAATAGTCAAAATAATATGTCAAAACATTCAGGGTTATTCACTAAACAATGGATTTTGTCCAAATGGACAAATAAGGTTGACACATCTAAAATCCAACTGCATTGGCAATTCTCAGATTTACTAAAGCCAAAGATAGTCAGAATTTGGTCGTTCTGGCCAATTCTGTAACACTGGCTGGATGAGTTCAGTTATATCCAAATCTAAACCAATTTACAACACTACAATCAACAATTTATCAACCGAATGCATCCAGCAGAATGCACAGTTGCAGATTATCATTCACTTGCTTTATGCAAGTATATGTAAATGTATAAAATATAAAAAAGAAGGCAAGAAAAATGTAGTAAAAATATAGAAAAAAACAATTTAAAAAAGAAAAAAAATGAAAAATAAAAAAATAAAGGCAAAATATAAAAATAAAATAGTCTAGATTTAAAACTAAATAAAAAAATGAGGGGGAGTGGAATATTTCAGCCCCGCTAACGGTCGTTCATTTGGTGGGCTCTGAGGCAAAACGCTTTATAACAGCTCAACCCACACGCTTCAAGCCTAACCTTGCCCTGCTGCACCAGCCCAGAGACGGGAAGAAATCACAGCAATGGGAATACTCCTGTTGCAGACCAAGATTGCCGGCTTCTAGTGGGGGTAGACTTGCGGCCTACAAAAGGCCTACTCGCAGCTATCGCGGGGAGGTGGCCAATCCCTCAGCATGTTGCTGCAAACTACTCTCATAGTCTCCCCTTTCACCTCCCCTACACGGCCGGTGGGGGTTATCCCGGCACCTCCTATTTGTGCTGCGGTGGCTAGTGACCAGCGATTTATCCCATGTTCAAGCCAGCATGCCATGACGAGCAGTGGCCCTATGAACAGCAAACTCCTAAAGGCGGATGTCACAGGCCCCATCGATCCTGAGGGAGTGATGTCCAGAGCTTTGTCAAAGCTAGACAGGCTCTTTGAAGAATTCTGGCAGAAGCTCTACCTCCGGTGCCTCACGCTTGTACTGCAGGCCCCTTCATCTCACTCACCTGGGAAGTCATCATTTTGACTGTCTGTGGATAGATTCTGACACAGTTGTATACTTTCATTATATTTCAGCATAGTCACTTGATCTAAATTGTGATCACGTGACTATGATGTCTATTAACCATCTTTTTTAATTTACTTTAGTTTGGTGACCTATATATTTGTTTTATCTGTTTCATTTTGCAATAAATAATTATTTGGCTCATATATTGTGGTGTTGCTATATATTACATATATTAATAAACAGCTTTTGCTGTTTTTATTATTTTTATTTACTTTTTCGTTTACCTGGCATCCCAAAAGTATTATCTACACTGTGGACAACTGGATAAAAAATCATAGGTGGAGATTGTACAGCCCATGCTACACATATAGAGCTGTTGGACTGTTCTAGAAACTGTAAGTTGGGTTTTATTATCACCCTTTTACTCATACAGAGTGCACTAAATGTTTTTTTCTTTTTTGTTTTGTATGGTCATTATGATCATTCATTCTACCGCTGAAACCACACTAAGATGTCTATATATCCATAAGTGGGGATTTGTACTACTACATGCTACTTATACTGAAGCTTGTTTTAAGCTCCATTCCACGTGAACTGGCAGTCACACTTCTGTGTACTATGTGTGTCCAATTTTGTTTAGACATACTATGCCATTTGGTCCATCTTGTCCTTTGTTTTTTATGCACCTTTGGATCCAAACTACTACAAGAAATGAGATCTCCTCTCTTTAGAACAAAGCTAAAAATACCTGGGACTGTTTGCTATTTATGTATATTTTTTGTTCTTTTATTATTGCTTTGTTTCCTACTTAAGTTATTTTGTGAAACCTTACTCCCTACTATATTTTCTATGTATTAGAGTGATATTTTTCTTTTTAGGTGTAAGCTATTTTTAATTTTTTTGGGTTATACACTTTGTTTAGGGGTCTTTGAGGGGCTCCCTTTATCTTAGTTTTGCTGCCACTGTCGCTCTTTTATTAAGATATCTAGCGCTGAACCATCTCCTGTTTTCTTCAGTGTGAGTGAGTCTGAATGGATCAATGCATGTCTGTGTCTGCATGGATCAGTATGTGTGTCTGCATAGGTCAGTATATGTGCCCGTGTGGGTTAGTGTGAGTGCGTCTGCCATGGGACAGTGTGTGTGTGTGTGTGTGTGTGTGTCTGCATGGGTCATTTTACATCTTCATGGGTAAGTGTATGTATGAAGGGGTCAGTGTGAGTGTGTCTGCATGGGTCAACATAAGTGTGTCTGCAAGGGACAGTGTACGTTTGTTGGCATGGGTCAGTGTGAATGTGTCTACATGGGTGAATGTGTGTCTGCATGGATCAGTGTCAGTGTGTCTGCATGAATCAGTATGTTTGTCTGCATAGGTCAGTATGTGTGCCTGTATAGGTTAATGTGAGTGTGTCTGCCATGGGACATTGTGAGTGTTTGTGTCTGCATGGTTTATTGAGTATCTGCATGGGTCGATGTGTCTATGAATAGGTCAGTGTGAGTGTGTCTGCATGGGTCAATATGTGTGTCTGCATGAGTCAGTGAGAAAATGTCTGCATGGGTCAGTGTGTGTCTGTATGGGTCAGTGTGTGTCTGCATGAGTTAGTGTGTGTCTGCACGGGTCATTAGGTGTATCTGCATGGGTCGGTGCCAGTGTATCTGAATGGGTCAGTGTGTGCCTGCATGGACCAGTGTGTGTGTCTTAATGGATCAGTGTGAGTGTCCAAGACTGCGAGCTGGGCATGACCTCATTGTGGCATGTAGTATCATTATGTAGCAGCCTACGGAGATTTGGGGACACTTGTGTTATGTGTTTAACAGGCTGGCCTAAAAATAAATTGATATGAAGCTTACTTGCACCTGTTCCAATTAGAGTGGCCCATATTACACAGTCTATTTGGTCTCCCAAGCGTGTTTTGTCTTTTTAAATAAATGAAATGTGGGAGAAGCAAATCTCTTCTGGGACCACTTCTATTCAAGCTATTTATAAATGATCTTGAAATAGGTGAGTTGTGCTGCCGCAAAGGGCGCCATTGTAGCAGGGACGACAGGTGACTGTCATAGCTCACAACACAGGATCCAGCGGTTCAATTGCAGAGATTCAAAAGACGTCCGCAAGGACGCGGGGCCGGACCACCGAGCTGAAAGGAAGCCTGAGCCTAAATAAACATTGATTTACCGCTCACAATATTACCATCTGCCCCTCAAATTAATGTATTTGAATCTGGGAATAAGCAGGCATTACGGGGAGACTAGTTGGAGGCTGAAGACCCCACAAATATAAAACTCTGAAGCTTCGGGCCAACTTGATGAAATGAGCCTGCTGCTGAAGTTGGAGACAATCTATTCGTGTTTCGTGAACCATCACAATATGAAGGTGCCTGTCACTCTCAACTTGCAAGGGCGACCGGAAAGGTCATGCTATGGCCCCGCTCCCCTCCCCCCCAAGACTGGGGGGTTATCCTGATCACTTATTTTCCAGTTCAAAGTTGCAAGTTTCAACTTACAAGTTAATATCAGGAAGTATTACTTTACTGAGAGGGTAGTGGATGCATGGAATAGCCTTCCAGCTGAAGTGGTAGAGGTTAACACAGTAAAGGGGTTTAAGCATGCGTGGGATAGGCATAAAGCTATCCTAACTATAAGATAAGACTAGGGACTAATGAAAGTATTTAGAAAATTGGGCAGACTAGATGGGCCGTATGGTTCTTATCTGCCGTCACATTCTATGTTTCTATGTTTCTAATAGTTCTCAGCCTTCATTTGCTGGACTTTGGTTACATTTTCGGCCCTATATATCCAGCCACTGCATAGGAGGCAGCACTTACACTGCAGAGGCTCCCTTCTTGCCTTGCCAGGGAACAGATGAGAAGACTCTCAGCATACTTATTCAGGGGAATACCCACGCATCGCTCAGGTGCCTAGAAGGGATTGCCGACAAGCTATGGCAACGTGTGAACTAGGCTGTGTCAGGTCGGATAGCAGTTGTCTCCAACTCTAGGTGAGCCGAGGGCCTGGAGGGTGATGCCCCCTGCTGCTGTGAGCCTGGCTGGGCTGGACTGTGGGGTCTGCGGTGGACCGTGGCTGCAGGGCCATGTGGCCTATGCTTTGGAGGAGAGGCCTGCGATGGAGGGGGCATGCGGAGGTGCCCTGATTTACTTTCCAGGACTCTGACGGGACCGTGGAGGTGAAGAGGCCGACCAGTCGGTGAACTCTATGGCAGGTGGTACCTAGAGCATATGGCACCTGAGGAGGGGGGTCCTATTTTTTGCACCCCCACCCACCCAACTTTAAAGGTAAAAAAAATACCAACATTTTTTTAAATGTATTTAGCACTGAGCAGTGTTTGTGTGTTTGAATGTAAGCATGTTTTTTTGTATGGAGTATGGGTGAGTGAATGTAGGGGTGTGTTTGTATGTAGTGTTTGTGTTTGAATGCAAGCATGCATTTGAGTATAGTGTGGTTTTTGAATACAGTGGTATGGTTATATAAAATGGTGGGAGTTTGTATGTAGTGTTGATGTTGAAATGCATGAGTGCATTTGTGTGTAGTGTTGGCGAGATTTTGAGATGTATGCACATATACACATACACATACACTGACACATGCAGATACATATACACACATGCAGATACACAA